ACCCGTGGTGGCTCCCAGGAGCGTCGAGAGCCAGCCCAGGGTCATTAATATCATCGGGTCCCCCTTTCATTCTGTTTATTAACTTTTTCTGATTTTTCATAAAAGACATTTAGGTGACAAATTGCTTCAAGAATCCATGAAAAAGCAGTGGCCATTTTAATTCATTAAGTAGTATGTATTTCTAGTGAGCTTTGGAATATCCCACTGCCGGGCCCCTTAACAGGCTCCAGGTCCCGGAACAGCTGCCCCCTTGCCCCCCTCTCGTCAACCCTGGTAGTGGGCAGAACAGAGATAGCCTATTGTGTAACGTTGTGCTTAACTGCAGACAAAGAAACAACCATCGAGATATTAAGGACTGGGAAATCCTAAGATGTAATACAGTTTGAAAAATGGACATTTCGGTCTTTGATGGTGGGTAAGAACAGCTAAATTACATCGATGGGAGAGGAAAGCTATCACATGGTGTTAATTTGAGTACAAGAACATCATGAACACACGTGAACTCGATGTATAGAAATTAAGTGTATATGAGAACCAGGGAACAAATAATAGGCAATAACATAAGTTCGAATTGGTCAAATATATTTTTTGTCCATGATGAAAAATACTTTTAATATCAAAATACAATAGACAAAAACAATCTCACCTTTATGCTAATCATGTGAATTGTTGTGTTTATTTTTGAATTTAAATTTAATACAATCTTCAAGCTGTACAGAATTATTCAGTGCCCTCTTACTACAAAAACCATCAGTTTGTTTGTTTGTAATTATGCACAAAGCTACACAATGGGCTATCTGTGCTCTGCCTACCACGGGTATCGAAACCCGGTTTTTAGCGTTGTAAGTCCACAGACATACCGCTGTGCCACTGGGGGCAATACCATTAGTTAAGAATTATAAATAAGTATGGCATAAACAAAAAAATATAACTAAATCTATGAACAGTTGAATAATAGGTTGTTATCAATAAATTAAAAGTCTCTCTCTACTAAAACTCTTCTTTACACTTTCTGGTAAACATAAGATACATTACTTTGTTACATGTCAATCATGTACAAAATACCATTGTCCAATTGCATAAAGATTAAAACAATCTAACGTTCAACATATTAATTTCTAAACTAATTATAAGTAAAAACAAAAAAATAAAAATTTAATGAAGGGTTACTTTTAAAATAATGAAATAAATTAGCGTAAAACCTTGCTATAACAGCTATGTCTCTCTCGCTCTTTCTCTAAAGCTCCCAGAAACTTTAAATGAGATTCAAAACGACCATTATTGACTACTAACTGTAAACATGTTCTATTTTGTTAAATTAACAATTTAAACTGTCTATTAGAATAAGTTAGAAAGATTAAATACATAATTGTAATTAGGGGGTTTAAGGTGCTGTTTCTATTAAATTATTAAATGTGTTTCTCGTCCAGTTAGAACTGAAGCTTGCTTTGACAGAGGTGACAAATGTCGCTAGATTTCTATAAAATACATTGATAACTCAAATTTTGTATTGTGATCTTTAGTTAGCTACAAGGCCAAGATGGTATCACAATTAAGTTCTCAAACATATGTTATTTTTGCAAAAATATGTCAACAGTTTTAATTAAACTAAAAGCCAGCAATTTTCACCCAAGGGATCTATTCACAACCAACTGCGTACACTAAGAATTATTATCAAGACTATTGACTCATATTACCTGCTTAATGTATTCAGTAAAACAAGAGAAACCAAAACTGAAAATGTTTCATTATCTCGATAAACATTTAGACGTGATATATCTAAAAGTACGTATTTACATGTAGAAATAATAACTGGTGTCAAGGGATGCATAGCACTTGTGTATAATCTGGAGAAATATCCATTTTTGACCTTAAAGCATTTTGCTGTTCAGAAATTAACTTATGGTAAAATCTTACTAAAATCAGAAAACAGAAGAAAGCAATGTTTTATTATACATTCAAGTTTGTGTTGAGTCTTCATGTACAGAAATTGGGCAAAATAATGGAAATATCTCACTTTTATTTCTTATCTCCCAAGTTTTGATATCTGTACGAAGGTAAGATGTAGTCATATGGTAATTTAACTGTACATTGAGTTATTCTATATCATTGGGATTATCTGTATACAAGCAGTATATTATTGTTGTTGTTTTTTCAGAAAAAGGTTCTTAAAATGCAGAGCTAAATTGATCCGTCAAATATGCAGGTGAAGTCTAGCTGGATTCTCAGTGACACAAACATCCACAATAACAAATGTGCCCCGAGGAACAGTGTTTAAAGTGACGTAAGCATGGCTATCAAAAATTGAATCTTATCAGACTAACATAACAGTGGTCGAGAAATTAAGTTGTCAGATCGTGACAGACGAGCATGAACACGAGTAGTGAGACGAAAACAAAAGACTACAAAGTCAAAAGTGTGAGCAGAACCTAAAGTTAGCCTACAACAACCAATTCCTGCCAGAATAACTGGTAAGGAACTAAACAAGATGAGTTACCATGGTAAGTCTGCCATTCAGAAACCTGTAATAGCACCAAACCATGCAAAATCCCAAGTAAAATAGTGTCAAAAACATAAAAATTGGAAGATCGATCGAAGAACGTGGTTTGATCAGATGAATCATCTTTTACACTCTTCTTATCAAAGAGACGTGTTTATATTTGATTAAAACCAAAAGAAGCTTACAACTCTAAATTTCTTGTACCATCAGTTAAGAATGAGGAGGATCTGTATTGGTATAGACAGATTTTTGTTGGAATAATTTAGAGACTGTGATTTTAGTGAAAGGTAAAACGATAACAAATTATTACATAAACTTTATGCAGAACAGGTTTATCCTATGTAGAACTCTTTATTTTTAAATGGAGCTGGTCTGTTTCTAGAATACAATTCACCAATTCATGCTTCTGAAGTTGTTAAAGATTGGTTCAAAGAACACGAAGGAAACTTTGTGCAACTAACTTGGCCACTACAGTCACCAGATCTAAATGTTATCGATCCTCTATTTTCAGTTATTGAAACCAAGCTTCGAAGCAGATTTCTACCAACAACTTCAATAATTAGAAAATATTTGATCGACGAATGATAAAAAATATCATTGCCTGATGTACAACACCCCGTTTCATTAATTACACACCGTGTTAATGCTGCCTTGTCTGCTCATGGAGAACCAACTCCATATTAATAAACAAGCCCCCAGCGGTATGTTTGCGGACTTACAACGCTAGAATCCGGGTTTCGATACCCGTGGTGGGCAAAACACAGATAGCTCATTCTGTAGCTTTGTGCTTAATCACAAATATACATACACACATACATTAATAAGCAAAATGTAGAAATTAAAATGTGTTTCAATATTTTGTCCAAACCCCGTATTTCTAGGTCAGATAAAACATATAGTTAATCACTTGTTGAAATAGCTTTGAACATATATCCTCTGAAGTCAAACCAAGTGCATCATACAAGTTTAAAACATTTCAAAAAATTGAATACTACTTGATATACGATAGAATGTTGTAACTATCCCATAATTGCAGATGTCCACATTGTTACGATTCAAGATATTTTGTGGTGATTGTTCAAGCTAACTTGGTTGGAACAAGTTGGCATTATGATATAACAAAACCAATTTTGTTCAAGTTGAAAATAATAATTTGAAAACACAGTTTCGCAGGCTAATACGTCATTTTCCCCCAGTCTTTCTGTAGTTAATAATTGAGAATACAAATAAATCACTGAGAATATACCACAAGTTACAAATAGAATCTTTAAACAAAGTAGTTCGTTCGGTTGCCAACATACGAAGTGTAATATAAATATGAAATAGATTTTATGCGCAATCTTGTTGAGTCATACTACATAACGATTACGAAAACATCCTTTCATCCATACCCTAAAATACAGAACCAACTCTTAGTCAATCATATTATCTTAATGTCTATCAACTCAGGATGCAGCTGAGGTTTTTTTTTAGAATGCGGTAATCTGATTTCGACGATCGTACGTGTGTTTCCTCTTACAACTCGCCATTCAGTCTCTCACAAAAGATTATTAAACCACAGAAGCCGGTTTGGTCATATGCTACTTTATACATGACTTAAAACACCATCTACTGACATCTGAATAAACGAAATAAGCATTTAAGCAACGTTGTACATCAAATGTTCTTTCTCTAAGAAAATAAAAGAGAGAGAGAGAGAATAAGAATAAAATTATACTTCTAAAACACTAACATGGTTAAACTTAAAAAGTTCAATATAGAGATAAATTAAGCAGTAATTATAGCTAATCAAATGCATTTAAGAAAATATTGATTTAGAAAAAAACCTAATGAACTTAGTTTTTGATAATATGATACTATCCTTTATCCATTATCAGAGGAAAAGTATTCTTGTTAAATCTATGTAATTAAGATACGAGTGGTTATTTCGTTATAAAATATTCTTGTAACATGGACATTTCAGAAGATGCATTGTTTTATTTAACAAGATGTTTTCAGATGTTCATGTCCCACAGAAATAAATAATACAGTTTTAAATTTATTTTTAAATAAATTAACTCATATGTTCTAACATAAATTTATCATACATATCAATTTGGAATAGTGACAAAAGCCAAAAACTATATTTTTTCTTCGTCTGTTCTCTGTCACTTTAATCCAGTTCATTGACTACTCATATCCGTTTTATCTCAATAATAACAATTTCCAATGTTGTATGTATATTTTCATATGCTTCGTGGCAAAAAGGCGCTCCTCATTTTGAAAACATATTAAGTTTAAAGTCATATTACTGATTCTTCAAGAACCTTTATAGACACTAAAATAAGAGTTACCTGCTTTCTCTGTTTAATAATCAAAAACCAACGTTTGTTTTTAGAAGTTAACTATTTGAGACGTGAACATGCCACATGTGTGTTGATGTCATTTTCACAACCACCTTCTAAATATTCTTTACGTATAGAGAGACATAAGTAAGGGATAGTATTGATAACTGACATACCAGTTTGTTGAAACTCACAGGATGGCGTTCCATCTTATAAAAGTTTGGAAACTGTTGAGATTTGACTGAGGAGTATCTTATGACTGACATTGTCATTGTAATGTGTTCCTGCAGTAAAACCAACAATATCTCATATATTACCGCGCGTTTATTTGACAACCACAGGTTGTTGTTGTTTCGGTTTCTTTACCACAACGTACCGATTACCGCTAACAGTGATTAAAAATAAACAAACAAACAATAACAATAAAAACTATATATTTCAACTCCTAATCTTATCACTTTATAACATTTGTAAAGAAACACATCCTTCCATAATTCCATGTCAGGTCGCATGCAGATAACTTTCTGGGTGATAATACAGCTCTTCGCAAACGTCCTGAGCTTTGAGTTCAAGTTTCGTGAGTTAAGGGAAAAGTGGTTCTCTACGTCAAACTGTCCACTGTGCTGAACCTGTGTAGCAAGTTTTTCCATGTGAAATATTGCCATAAACACATGTGTAAAAACGCTTCTTCAACTGAGGTCGCTTGAGAAGGTTTCAGGGACGCAAAATTAAACTCATACTTCAAAGGGATAACTGTTACACACTCTTCCGAACACATGATTACAAACTGAGCTTCTGACTAAAAGGTTTTCGTGTTCGCATAGTCCGCTGTAGAAATCACGTGACCCAAAGAGCTGCTTACGAGCTGCGGCGCCAGGGAGGAGCCAAAGTTGACGTAGCAATCTTAAAAAGATGTTTTCAATCCTCTCAATCGCCTAGTCTGTGGAAAGAGATTTACAAACATTTTGTCATTTATTGTAAAATCACTGTCATAAACTGTAATAGTTATAAATCTTGTTGCTTTTTAATATGAGCGAAATATATTTAGAAATTTTCAATCTAAACAGAATTTTCTGGACTGCTATACATAGCTCCCCCCCTGGTATTTTTTTAAAATAGACTCTTACAAATTAATGTTATTACAGTAATTGTACGATGTTTGAGAGGAATGTGTTTTACTCACAAGATAGCGAAAACTTTCAAAATGTCTTAAATACAATTTGATTTATAAATACGACAAACGAGTACAGTATATATCTTAAGGAATATAGAAATGCTATACAATAGGACGTACGGTTATTTAAGTGTGTTTAGAGAGTGAGCGGTTTTCTAGTACGTCCTGATAATGGTAACAAAGACCTACTATACATTGTCTTTTTTTTTGTAGTTTTGATAATGCGCTAATCATACATTATCAAAATGTTAAAGTCAAAGCTTCCGTTGTTACTTTGCCATTTCCAGGAGGTTTTGTACAAGTACTAAATATAAGTTCATAGGAAAATTAATAAACCATGGTATAACCTAATTGTCAATCAGAATTAATGTACATGAAAATAATAACAAAATAGAGGAAATTATAATATTTTAATGCGTGTAATTTCCTTTTAATTTAGTAACGAACCACTCGTACTTAATGAAAGTGAAATCTAGTTAAAGTGGGGGGGGGGGGCTTAACTATTTTGAGAATATTTCGAATCATCTCGCCAGTTCCTTAGTGTTGATTTATAACCATGAATTTAATATGAATCTGGTCATGCGAAATTATGATAAAATTTTCGTTATTAATCAATGAGACAACTTCTGCATGTGATCGAAATAGAATAATCCTTAATAACTGTTACTATTTATTTTTAGCATATACTTTCAATTCGAACTGAGTTAGGGGAATTTATTGCATTATACAATGAATAAATTAATTTACATCTAAGCCACATATTTCCGTTAAGGAAAGTCCAGTAAAACAAAATTAAACCTAGGAAAGCTAAAGATAAGATGTTCTGTCTCTATCACCGTTAGGGCGCTCGACTAGCAATCTGCAGGTCGCGGATTTGAATCCCGGTCATCGAACATGCTCGCCTTTCAGCCGTGGGACATTATAATGTGACGATTAATCCCACTATTCGTTGGTAGAGTTGGCGGTGAGTGGTGTTGACTAGCTGCTTTCCCTCTAGTCTATCATAGCTAAGTAGCGCAGATAGCCATCGATATTCAAAACAAACCAACCCTGTATCACCGCCTGTGACAAAAATAAAGGGAGTTAAAATAAATATTGATTGGAAAAAAGCCCTGAATACTACTGTTTACAAACTAACATATAAATATTACTGTTGAGCTGCAATTCAGCATAGTGGTTCAACAGTTTATGTTTTTTTGACATGATTCAAAACCTGATACTCCGAATATTTTACGTCTAATAGGGAAAAATGTGTATACAAGAATTACAGAAACTAAATCTCGGAGCGAGAACAACTCTGTACTGCACTGCAATAACACTACAATGTATTATTAAGCAAATGATGTTCTCTAAGTAAATCTGATCAATATTTCTTTTAAAAACAGCAAGCAACTGATAAGTATGATATTGTGACCATGTAAGAAGTCTGCAGTTTCCTTGGTTTTGTGTCTTACCAACGATTTGTGGCCAATTTCTCCAAGTTAGCAGCACAGTTGTCTGCTTTCACGAAAGTCGAGATGAACTTTAGATGTCGCAATGGATGTGTCCAAGCATTCCTACCCATTAGATAGCAATGAATGTGTCCAGGCATTCCTACCCATTAGATGTAGCAATGAATATGTCCAGGTATTCCTACCCATGACAACAAAGAGTTCATATTAAACACTGATGCCACTGACAATGCGTTATTGCAGTTGTAGGAGGGAGTAGAACGTGTATTCGCAGTAGAACGCAAATACTATACGATGGACAAAGAACTGCTTATAGTTATAATCTTCGTAAAACACTATCGTCAGTACTTAGGAAGATGATGAACTTTAAAGATTTGGAAGGAATGATAACACGTTTGAGCACAATTTTTAAAGAATATAACTTTGCCATAGTTCATCACCTAGACTGCAATATGGAAATGGCAAATGGATTATCTTATGTGTAAGAAGAAATCATAGCTATTTTCACCATAGGAAAGACAAACCATAGGAGATTCCAGTGTAGATAGATCTCAAGATTGATACTTCAGGAGCTGTAAGAAAAACAAATGTAGGACCACAATTTAGCATGGATAACCCTTGACCAACATGCACTAATAGTAGAGTGTAGCATGAATGCACACAATCTGCAGCACTTGTATGGTCAGTTGCAAGTGCAGAAAGATATGCTGTACTGTCACTATAAACCATCAAGCCATGGTTTTCTGACTGTGCTGTAGCTAATAGTCCCCAGGGCTCTGCAGCAAGAAATTCTTCAACCTTTGCACAATATAAGGACTGGAGGGTACCAAGATATTACTCACAATTATGCTAACATTTGGTGACGGCTCTTCAGGCCACATTCAAGTTGAGATTTTCGGCAATGGTATGAATACTCTACTCCTGTGACACCCAGGCAAAGAACTAGCTGAAACAGAATAAACTCCAGAAGAAAACTGTTGGATCATCTCTGCAGGTGATAGTTCTGGGTATTATTGGTCTGAGACCATGAGAGATTATTGATACGTACTCATTGTTATAAAATATTTCAAGAAGTGGATTGAGGCTTATCCATTGGTTGGTGGATTAGTGCAGTCTGTCGCTGATTTTTGGTGGAGAACTGAATAATATGGCTTGGAGCACCAGAAGAAATCCATATGAATGAGGGAGCTAATTTCAACAGCCAACTGTCCACTGAGCTGTGTAAAATGTCAAGTGTGGTGAAGATGCACACGTCACTTCATCATCCCCTGTCTTATGGTTTGGGAAAATGGGTAATACTTACTACTGGGTGGATGCTTGTGAAGTTTTTTAATACTGACAAAACCAATTAGGATGAATACTTGTCATACATGATGATGACATGTAGAACAACAGAACAGTGAGCTACATGCTTTATGCCAAAGATGTTCATGTTTGAAAAGAAAATTCTCCTCCCTGTTGATGCGATTATGGTCTTCCCTCATGAGAAAATGTTTTACAATGTCCACAGGAATGTGTGAAGTGGTCAAAGTCTATTATGGTCGATACACACAAGTTTGCCTAACAACAACAAGGGAAGGCTGCATAAAAACAAAAAATAGTGTTATGATTGAAGGGTAAAAGAATGGATGTTCCAGTGTGGAGATTGGGTCTGGTTGTGGTATATGCCAGCAGCTCAGAAGCAGCTTGAATCATCTATTCTTATCTTACCTAATATTCTTACAAATTGGCCTATTATTGTATGAGTCACAGTAGATTGGAGACTTGTCAAAGATATGGAACACATTAATAAGCTTTGTCCATACATCACAGATGAGCCTTTAGTGCATTGGGTTAATCAAAAGTCTAAGGATGAGGTCAATGGGTCAGAGAAGATAAGGATACTGTCTCAAGTCGAAGGAGAAAGAGCTGATGGGAATTAGTTGGTGGTCCATGATGAGCTAGATGAGAAACCATCAGAGATGGTATGTTAGACACAGCTCCAACTGTCAGAAGAGCCACAGGTGTCAACTTTCTATCTCGTGATCAATATGGGTGGGACGGATTGATTATCAAAAGCTAGAATAGTCAGGTAGTCAAAAGACTGTTGACTGAAAGAGTGTAATAGTCCTTACTTTCCAAGCCCCTGAGTGGTGATATGAGGCACCATGTATATGTTACACTGTTTGATTAATAATTAATAATAGACAGCTAGGATTATCATTAGCTGAGCACTTGATGACTGAAAGTGGTATTGCTTATTTTTCAAGTGTTCAAGTGATGCACACTGTATAATATATGTAATAAATAGTGTGGTTTTCACTTGTTTATCCAGTGAGGATGGTTATCTGGTCAAATAACCAACAACTGAAAGGGCTTTACAACCCCTATTTTCTGAGCTATCGAATGGTATTGAGATACAATTCATACATTGCATTGTATAATTATTTTGCAATCATCAGCAATAAAGACCATCAGGTGATTAAAAAATCAATGACTGAAAGATTGTTATTACTCCTTTTTTTTAGCCCATGAGTATGCTTGATCAACAGAAGCCACAACAGCTGGAGTGAATATAATATCTAGTACATCAACAGTTTGCACAATTGAAGACCATAGCTAAGAGTTCCAAATCTCAGTTGAAAGATATTTATGACACATGTATTTCAACTATTTAGTAAATTTTCAGTGTTTTGAGAGAATCATTCCCATAATCTAGCTGAATGGTGAGAACTATATGGAATATGCTGCTCTATACTTCAAGATTTTTGCCTATACACCTGGAAAGCATCGTTGTTCTACATGCTATAGGGGAGTATTCCCTTTGAATGTGTATTGAGAGACAGAAGTATTAATGAAAATAGCAGGCACCCTGCATTTTCCCATAATACTTTCCAGGCTAGTCATAATAGTTTATCTCATGCTCATCAATTCTTAACCTCTGTCGGGATCAAATTATTTTTTTCCATGCACTTGTTGATTTTTATTCGCGTACGCTTTGCGTAATTCTTTCATTTATGTAATAAAAACTCATGGATGACACTATTTAACTTTTATCCATGCTTCTGAAACCACACATGTATATTTACTTAAATACATACATTGCTATATACATATGATGTATATAGCAGAGTGTAGCTTCAGATAGTAACCTGAGCATTACTGAAGTGATTCATGCAGTAGCCAA